AAGGAATATAAACAGATGAAACTGAGCTGCATTTTCCCTCCCTTATAACCTGCCTGATCCAATGAGCTGGATCAGTGCTTCGTTGGTGACCAATCAGTGATTTACAGTTTTCTGACTTCATCTGCTCCATTTATCACGGAATTAAAACAATGTCCAACTGTTGATAAAAATCAAGTACCTTTATACCTGATGCAGGAACAGGCCATTAAAGCTTGTCTAGCTGCAGGTAAACATAAAGAGGACACTTCATTGTTACCCTTTTATAACAGGTTAATCAACAAGTCTCCAAGCACTTTTACAAATATTTGGTTGAATGTGAATATAGCTGTTCTTCTCCTGACATTGAATACCATTAATTCCCTTTTGCAGAGCAGGAAATGCAGGCAGATGGAAACAAATTTGCTGAAGTTATACAGCAAATCTAAAGCTGGACTAGTATGGAAAGTGGAAAAACAACCCCTTCTCTTTATTATTCAGACAAACAAAAGGCAATTCTTTTCAGATGGGATTTATCTCTGGTTATCTCATGCAGGTATTCAGAAAATTCAGCTGTTCAAAAGGTCTTGTTCTTTTTTTTTAACCTCTCTAGGATAAAAATATTACAAATTAAATCAAAAACACTGGTCTTCATGGAGCTATAGAAAACATGTTGGGATTTTTTAATACGAGATGGTATGTTTAACAGTCATAATTTTAAAAACCTATTATGATTAAATGATCAGTTGAGAAAATCTGGCTCCATTAAATCAATGTTAATTTTGTCAAAGATTACATTCAAAACATAATTTTTGGTTTCTAATTCAGAAAAAAATCTTAAGATTTATTGTGCTTTGCTTCTTTTTATTTTACTAATCCATATTTTTCTGTATGCATCAGGAAGACTAAATATATTTGATTCTAATTTGTACTGAAACAAAGTTCTTTCACTGGTTGTTTGAAGCCAATCACATAAGAACTGAGTAGTTTTTCTTTTGCAAATGAAAAAAAATTAAAAGGGTAAGTCAAAGTGCATTTTTGTCATTTCTTTTTATGAGAACTGTGATATCATTCTGCATCGAAACTCAAATTTACTGATGCGTTGTAGTTGCTTTAGACCAGGCTGGCATATGAGTAAATAAAACCTGGCTTAATTGGCTGAGCAGTTTGGATTTATTGCTGCTTTGTGCTACAAGTGCAAGACAAAGCTAAACTACCAGATCAGTGAAAAAAAAAGGAAGTCTCAAATATCAGGAAAAAATCATACAATAAATGAAAGTTGTCATTCAATTTCTGTGCCACAAGAGTAGGGTTATTTTAATGTGGAGTTCAAATTTATAGGTTAAATTCTCTTCTGATATGGGAAAATGCAGCTGTATTTACATGATACACCCAGAAAAATCCAAGAAAGAGCAAGTATTTAAATTTTTATTCTCTTTTGTTATACAATAACAGAGGAGAAAATCATTGAAACAACATGCACCTGAACTAAAGTGAAGGTCACTTATTATTCTTGTCTTCCCTCCGAGAGACAGCAAAGAATTTAATTTTGTAACTCTGAAACTTTGCCACTATACCAGAAAACTTAACTGGGAGGAAAAAGGAAAAAAAAAAACAAATTGAGAACTAAAAAGAGCATGGGCAATTTTATGGGTTTCCATCTGTGGGGCTTCAAACTCTTAAAATAGTTTCTGAAAGGCTGGGAGAGAAGTGAGAATGTTCACAAGGACACACCTTTCTAATCTGCAGGCCCATGAGACCCTCTCCTGCTTCCCAGATAACAGGGTAATTGGTTTAAGGAGTTGTGTTTTTTCAGCATATTTAGTTAATACCCTAACAAAGGACCATCTCCTGCTTCATTCAACAGCTGGAATAATTTAAAAAAAGAGATTACATTTGAAGATGTCTGCCAATTTGTCTTGATTTTCAACTATGTCTGCAGCAGGTAAATTTATGTGTGTGTATTCATGGTAACACCAGCCAGATGCAAATGTACTTCCAAAGTCAACATACATTCAGTTTAAGCTTAGTTATTAAATGACTAATTATGTTCCCAGGTTTGGTGTAGTTTTATGGTTGAGTGGGTACCTGTGGTTTCTGTCAACCACAAAGATCTTTCATGGTACCAAGGGAAGAAGAAATTCAGAGAGGACATCATCATTTCAATATTGTTTGTTTTTTTTTTTTCCCCAGTTGTGGGCTTTAGCACTGAAACTCCCTGGAGATGGCTGTAATTTAGTTCTGTTGGAATGATGAAAGGAAGTTTTGTGCTGTAATCCCAAAGTCAAGGGCAAGCTCACCCTGAGTGTTTGGAGTAAGTGGCTAGATGTTTGGATTTAGGGAGACTTTATCTCCCATCGCTCTGGGGTTTTGATTAGACACCTGAAACACAGGCAGAAATCAGAATACAAGGCAGCATATGGCAAGTTGGGCATTAACTGAGTGGGAAATGAACTGTGTTGACAAAGTGCCCGCAGAAACAAAGCCAGTTGTGACTAATGACCTCATTGTGGTCTTGGGAAACAGAGGGACAGGTACCAATCTCTCCACTCTGTGACCAGTGAAACCTCATGGAGCAGAGTCGGGAAGTTTAGGTTGTATTTTAGGGAAAGGTTCTTCCTCCAGAGGGTGCTGGGCACTGCCCAGGCTCCCCAGGGAATGGGCACAGCCCCGAGGCTGCCAGAGCTCCAGGAGAGTTTGGACACTGCCAGGGACAGGATGGGATTTTTGGGGTGTCTGGGCAGGGCCAGGAGCTGGACTCGATGATCCTGATGAGTCTCTTCCAACTCAGAATATTCTATGATCTATAAACAGATGGACAGAATATAGAATATATACAGTTCTACCTTATAGAACAGGGCTGAGGAGGTGCCATAGGAAGCCAAAGGTACCCCCGGGTAGGATGCACAATGTAAGTGGTGCCAGACACCTGAAAAGAGCAGTTTATTCATCACTTTATTTATTTATTCAGATGCTTAGTACCAGTCTGTGGAAAGGTTAGCTTGCATTCCTGTGAAGAGCCAAAATAACACATCCAAACATCGTTTTGCTGCAGAAATACGGAGGAGGAAGTGGTTTGCTAAACATTTAACTTACTAATAACTTGTATTATCAATACCATTGAACCATATTAATATTTAAGTGTGATAAAGTTGTTTGGAGCAATTTCTGGGTCATGCTGAAGGTCTCCATGCCCTGAATTCTGGGCAATAACGCTGGGCTGCCCAGCAAGCCCTCATCCCTCTCCAGCAGACACTGCCTGCTCCTCCCAAAACCAGGCAGCCACTCGGAAAAACCAAACCCTGCCCTGATCTCTGCTTTAGAGGTTGTTTATAATCCATTAATAAAATGAGTGCTCCCAAAGCCAGCTCTGAAAAACTTAAAACACAATTACACGCTCATGGAGCTATTTTGGATGAGATAACAGAGCCAGAGCTCAGCCCTGGACCAGGCAGGAGAAGCTGAACAGACCAGGCAGCTTCTGCTGCCAAGAGAGGAGGCAATGACCCCCTCCCCAGCACTGCAGGCTCTCCTGTTCCTCTGACCTTTGTCAGCAAGCTGAGTTAACCGCGGGGAATATTAACCCAGGCTGAAAAAAAAAAACCCCACCAAAACCAAAAAACAACAGCAACAAAAAAAACACCCACCAAACTTTTACCACTCTAGAGGCCTGCAAGGCCCCTTAGTGAGCCAGATACCAGCCAGGAGGGAGGGAATAACTGGGAAAAAGAGGGTGGGAATGCGCTGTTCTGTTCGCTGACCAGCTCAGCCCTCTCCGAGAAGAAAAGGTGTTAACAGGGGTAATCAACGAGCTGCTGGCGAGCGCCCAGATCTTCGAGGCTGTAACTAAGCAGAGCTCCATTCATTTGAACCGAGCTGCCCTGGATCTCCCCCCCAGCAGGTCTGGTGTTCTTTCCTAGCGCACAAAGCAACGCCGGGTCCTCCTAAAGGCTTTAAACTCCCCTGGCAGAGCAGCACTGAGTATTTTTTTACTCTTGCCCAGTTGTTCTTGTGACACCTGAATTGATGAAATATCTTAAAAGTGGTTTCATACAGACTGTCAGGAACCAACCAGTATATTTTTTAAATCTCTCTCCTTATCCGTAGCCATCATGCAAGGCATTTGGTTAAATCCAAAGTGAGCTCCAGGATAGTCTAAACTCAAAATAAATACAGTTTTGAATTATAAATTATTAGGTTATGTCTTAAGAGAGGAATGACACACCATCAGTACAGGAGTACATAACCTCCAAACGACTTTCAAAGAAAAAAATACGTGACTTTCTAAAGAAAATAAATTTACATCTTCTCTTGTAGAACTGAACAGATCTTGAGG